GCGTGGTTGACTCTTAACTTTTATAAAGAATATCTCTTTGGATTTGAGACTTTAGTCTTTGCAACTTTACAGATCTTCTTTATGCACCAAGAGCTTGTAACACTCCAAAGAGAAAGGAAAAATTGAAATCGCATCATATGACCCCTTTAATGTTTGACCAAGATCAGAACTTTTACTTTAAAGCCTCACTTGTTGAGGATATTCAAGTTATAAATTCCCTGAACTCACATGGGTTGAGGCAGAGGAGCGCAGGTCGGGAGTCCATCTGTGCCAAAGGCATTGGAGTCACATCGACACCAGTCATCAATAACATCACCTTTAGCAGAGCACCACAGTACACTCATCATAGCCTCCTGCAGAGCCTACATGAAAAGACAAAATGCAGAGCATGTTATAATAATAATAATATTAATTATAAACAATGATTATATTAATCACATTTATATAACACTATTTTCACACAGTGAGCTTTACAGAATAAGTGGGGAAATGTCCTCTACCACCACTAGAGTGCAGCATCTACCTGGATGATGAATATTTGTATGGACCACAAATGTTTTAGAGATGAGGATTGTGATTTATTTTTAATAGAATTTAATTATAAATAAATTTTTATTTGAAATATTATTTATTTTTTAATATATGTTAAAGTAATTATATTTAAATAATTCTAATTTTCATTCAAATGAAACAAACAAAAAAAAAATTATTATTTTATTTTATTTCTATTATATTTGTATTTTTTTATTTTATTATTATTATTTTTTTTAACATTTTGCTATTTTTAATGAAAAGCACAGTATCGTGTCCCCATCACTATACTGGTGCAATAGGTCCCACACAGACCACCTGCCAATTTCAACTTCACTAAAACATTGTCCACCCGCAACCTTTGTTTTCCCCAGGAGGTGTCCGAGCCTGGCTCATCACTGCTTACCTTCAGTGGGGAACCTGGCAAGAGCTGCAGGGTGAGAGTATAACATTATGAGTCACAGATACCTGGTAGGTCTCGTTGCTGTTGACCAGTTCGTAGACTGGCGTGGCTTTAGTGATGTTGAGCAGCACAGGTTCTGCAGGACGTGCAGGCCCAGGGCTCATGTGGCAGAGGTGGCAGGACAGAGGGCACTGGCCCTGGCTGATGCAGTCCATGCGCACCCCCGTCGCCATGCGCTTGGCACCCGAGTCCAGGAGGCTGGCAATGTATGCTGGGTAAGTAAGCGTGCGTGGCTCTTTGTCCTGCTCCTCCGACTCATCTGACGGAGAGTTTCCTGAAAAACAGAATTCCACATGATTTAGATTTGAAAATTATAGTAAGAATCATTCAGTCTTTAGAATAGGGCTGTTTATGCAATAACATTTCAATTATGATTAATGGTTAACAATTATGATTATGAAATGTTTATAAAATAATATTACAAAAATAATGATGTAACTATTAAGTATGAATAATACTGTCAGACTCTGTTCCGTGTTTTGCTCCCCACGTGTTCCATGACCTGGTTTTTCCCATGTGTTTTCTTATGCCCTTATTTGGTTCTTCCTGTTCCTGTTCGTATTATGTATATCAGGGCTGTCCAAACTCGGTCCTGGAGGGCCGGTGTCCTGCAGAGTTTAGCTCCAACTTGCCTCAACACACCTGACTGAAAGTTTCTATGCCTCGTAAGAGCTTGATTAGCTGGTTCAGGTGTGTTTAATTAGGGTTGGAGCTAAACTCTGCAGGACACCGGCCCTCCAGGACCGAGTTTGGACAGCCCTGATGTATATTGTTTCATTAGTTCCAGGTGTGTCTCGTCATCCCATCCTCTAGTCCTGTGTATTTATAGTGAGTCCAGTTCTTAGTTTAGTCGTCCGGTATTGTGTACGTGTCAGCCTCTCCTGCTATGTGTGTTTTCCTGGTTCCTTTGATATCATTAAAATCTCCTTGTTGATGTACTCCTCGTCTCCTCGTTCCTCGCTCCACGCTCCCTCACAGTAGCGAACGTGACAAATATTATAATAATATAAATAACACATTTTTATTAATAAATAATATTTTAAATTAATTAATAATGTCATCATAAAATAAAATATTTAAATAACTGAATAATTATTATATTAAAAAAATTATATTCAAAACATTCTGAATATTAAAATCACATTAAATTGCATATAAATATTTGCTCTATCTGCCCTATTTAAAACAATGAATCATCATTTGAGCATGAAATGAAACTGTCTATTTATTCTGTAAAGCCTTGCTTTTATTTAAGCCCATCCCTAATGAACTGAATATCTTCAGAACTCTATTGAATTAAAATTCATTGTATATAAAATATATTAAACTCTTATTCTAAATTTAAACGATTAAATTAAAATAATTAAGTAATTTAATTGCAAAAAAAAATGCAATACTGAATAATTAAATTGCATATCAATATTTGCTCTTTTAGCCCCATTTCAAACACTGAATCATCATTCGAGCATAAAATGAACCTGTGCATTTGTTCTATAAAGCTTTGCTTCTATTTTAAGCTTATCTGAAATAAATTAAAATATAATATTAAAATACCACTATAAATGGTTTTGAATTATATTATTTAAATAATTAATTACATACTTAAATACAAATAAATATGCAAATTGCAAAATATGCTGATTAATTAAGTTAGATAAAACCTCCACACACACAAAAGCTATCAGCAAGCTCAACAGCCAATTAGGGAATACCCTTTCACTGCAGCACACTTTAATAAAACACATACACACTCGAGATTTTAAACGTGCGCACACACACACACACACACACACACACACACACACACACACACACACACACACACACACACACAAATAACAAACCACAGAGATTTTATGAGCCAACAGTGTGAAAAGAAAATACAGTGTGAGAACCCATTATTCCTTCAGCCTTTCGCAATATCAAATAGGCCACGTTTATCCCAACATTTTGCATAAGAGACACACGAGGAAATGAAAACGCAGCACCCCGTAGTACACTTAATAATAAAGCAAAAAAAGCACTTTGAAAAATGCAAACATATCAATCAGTCCTACCAAACCAAGTTTTGCTTGAGATTTGCTTTGAGATCCAGTTGCAAATTTTACTTATTTAATTTAAGATTTAATTTATTTGGGGATAATCAGAGCAGTTCTTTCTTTCTCATTCAATATCTACATGGGTTCTGGTCTGCAGGAGAAGTGCAAATAGTTATGCAGCTGACCTTTTGGGATGTGATGGGAGCAAACCGGCCCTCAAGTCATCCTACCCACTCTCAAGCTCCTTACAAAATAAAACACTTTCTTAATTACTCATTGAATTCTACATCATCTAAATTGTATCTTCCACTGTATTTCTTTGAAATAAAGCACTGTAACTGTGCCAAGAAAACAAAAAGCTCTTAAAAAAAGGTTCCTCAAAGTTAATGGATTAAAAGGCCTGTAAATTGCACATTTTGGATGCCAATCAGAAAGCTTGAGCTCCTTAGAAAATACTAATGTGTTAAAAGAGTTTCATCAAATTCAATGCCAGCTGTAGATTAAGAAGGCATTACCAATATTACGCTTAGCTGGTGCTTTAATTAGACAGAGTGAGAAAATGAAAAAACAAGAAGTGGGGAAGAAGAAATAGGGAAGGCTGGAAGAAGAGAGCAAGAGAGAGAGAAACAGTGGGAGAGCTTCACACTCTATAGTGTGCCAATTTGCTTCGACATATTTTCTCTACAGCTCTGGGTTTTGACAGTTATGAAACCGGCTTGATGCATTGCAGGCCAAATTAAAATATGAGAGTGAAGGAAAACATCTCATTAGATAACTTTCATTTTAGTCAGTTGATTTGCATGAAAAAGCACGGAAAATCTTGTCATCTGTAGTGTCTCTTTAAGTTTAGAGCTCTTCTCAGTGAAGAAAAAGCCTTTGATATTCTCAGTGGTTTGAAGGATTGCCATTTATGATTGCATGCAAATTGTCAGCTGTGACAAAGGTGAGCATTTGGAAATTCCTTGGTACCACAAACCAGCATATTTTTTATCAGCACCAACTATAGATATTCCCTAAAATAAGACCTGTGCCTAACAGCCAAAACACTAGATGGCACAAGAGCTCTAGGAGGGGATGCCAACCGCACATGAAAGCAGAAGGGAGGGGGTGACCTAACAAATTGCATTATCATGTCTGCAGGTATCCGAAAACACAATCTGCACGATAAAGCACAAAGATAATGAATATTGCTTCCCCTTTTCTCATGTTTTTGACAAGTATGGAAAAGGATGAAACATCAAAATCGAAAGTCATGAATTGCTCTGCATGTAACCAAAATCCAAGGAGCTTTCAGTCAATAATCAGGACATTTAAGCACCCCAGTCAAGCAATTTAAATGTGTTGCAATGCGTCTAGGCTCAGGATGTATTTGAACATTCTAGCAAAGACTTGACAAGCTAATCTCACAAGAAAGATGTTGCATGATGATTATCACACAGTCCTTATTCAAGCACCTGCTTTGTTTGGAGTGTATGTGGATTGAGTTTTAAATATCCAATCACAGGGAGCTCAATGCTAGTCCACAATAACATGTAAATACTCTTCCAGCCAATCTCTTTCCATCTCACTTCTCTCGCCTCTCTCGACCAGCTTTTCAATCTTCCTTGTGTTCGTTTTATTCGACCGGTTTACACATGCAGCTGCTGGTCTTAACCGATATGCCCCTCTGTCTCTTAATAAAAGCTGCCGGTGTGGTACAGGTGGGAGTGACTGGATTTATTTACCTGTGATTGGACCTGCCTGCAGACACAAAGAGCAGTGACATCTTGTTTGTGAGGTGCGAGGGCTAAACTAATTAATCTGTTGGCATGGTGTAGCTGGTAACGCTCCCCGGGACCTCACTCTGCAATCCGACCTGACCTGCTAGACTGAGGGGCTTGAATCTGAAGCAATTTGCAACAGATTCTGAAATGCCTCACATAGAAGTGACTGGGGGCTTTATTTTTATTCTCAAACAAGAACGATGAGGCTTATATCTAAGCCATATTCCACGGTAATTGTCACAATGTGCAATACGGGACACTGTTTTGAGCTGTAACTGCAAGGAGGAGAGACTGACAGGCAACAATTTAGGGACTTTTTTGGCGATAAAACCAGGTGAGAATGATTCACATCAATGCAGGTGGTGATTGTGCAAACATTGTTAATGGGAACTAAGTACCAGGAATGTAATTTGTGTTATGCACTACACAACATAAACTTATTTTTGCTGTTTTTTGTTTTAGTCATAGTTGGATGTCTTTAAATGTAGTCAATATTTTGGCATGTCATTAATGTTAGTCATCAAGTCATTTTAGTTGGCACCAATTTTTAGTTTAATTTACAAAAATAATGTTTTAGAGGATGAGTGCAAAATGGCTTTTTTTTCTTTCTAGACTTTTCTTCCTTGAAAAACAAGTTTATGGATAATATCTTGCAGTGCTATTTTTTTCTCATCATATTTTCAACATTTATTTTTAGATAAAATTTTAAAAAAGGAAATAAGAAAATTCTATAAAATAATAACGTATCAACATTTAACTACATGCGAAAATTCTTTGAAAAAAAATCCTTCATGTGACCAATAATATTCTTTTTAAAAACAAAAGGGCATTGTTAATATCTTGCGGTTTTTTTCTAATCATATTTTCATTAACATATTTTATTTGAATTCTATAATAATAATAATAATAATAATAATAATGCACATTTCTCAACTTCTATAACATTAAAGTAATTAAAGCCTTCATTAAAAAAAAACATTTTTGACAGCAATTTAATTAATGAGATTAACACTCAATTTCGATTTCTAGTTGTAGCTGCAGGTTTAGGAGAGCGGACCACTGGAACCCCTGCAGCCACAGTGCCATAATCAAACATTTGCAGTCTGCTGTAAGTATCCCTTGGAGTTAGAGGACGATCTCAGCAACAGGGATTCTGTGCCAGCCAGGTGCAGTTTCCCGGGTCTTATCTGTCTGTGCACGGCAAGCAGCTGGCATGATTTTCATGAGCGGATTACACGCTAATTTTTCGGGGGACATGCTGACCTTCAAGCACAGCTCAAAACTTTCACCCCTTTTAATTGATGGATGATTTAGCGGTGCTCTTCGCTCATACTATCATTTCCGGTTTTCGGGGGACATGCCGACCTTCAAGCACAGCTCAAAACTTTCACCCCTTTTAATTGATGGATGATTTAGAGGGTGTGTGAAAGACTTCTGAAAGACGACGAAGAAACAAGATGAAATGCGAAACG